TTTTTTTGTTTTTATTTTGTTTTTTTCTTTTCATTTGGTGTCCCCAATTAGTTTTAGAAACTAAAATAAAATTATTATATATGGGCTGATAATGTCTTGGGAGAGAAATGGTCCTCTAAATCCTCAGACATTATCATCCTCAAACATTATCATCCGATATCCCGGCCCCCATAAGATGCTAGAAGGGGTTTATTTCAGTACTAAATATTGCTACTTGTGTGTTTTTGCACGGCCGTGCGCGGCTATGACGTCACTTTTCCAATCAAGCTCTACTTGCAGGATGCCATGCAATATTAATAATTTTCGTATGCTCTACGTCATATTTTCTATTAACATCACCGGCTATTCTAGCAACGCTATCACATTTGCTCCTTGTCGCCTTATATTGCAATTTCCTATGTTCCTTTGTACRGTTGTGCCTCAACGACGTCATATTTCATCGTCTGATTATAACACTTGGTTGCCATTATTAGTTCATTTGTAAAGTTATCTATATTAATAACGTTTTATTTAATACTAAATGCTCTCAAACGTCCTAAATAAGATATAAAACTCTCTTCAAAATAAGAATTTTTTTTTCGAGTGGCTATCCATATTTGGTAAACTTACCATATTTAGAAATTTACCGTCAAAATTTTAATTTTTTAAAACGTCGAACATGTGATTCAAAACTTGAAGATATTATGCATTTAATGTCGCGAGGGAAATAGTTAGTTTTGTTTTCCCGAGAGTCTCGATGTTTCACGAGGCAATTGAGAAATATTGAGAAGTCAGTTAACGAAATAAGAACTTTATTTAGCGAGCCAAATGCATGAAAACTGACCATGATTTTACAAATACAACTCACATACGGTCTTGTATTTCGCTACCAAAAAGCGAGGAGAGTAGCAATAGCATTATTAGTCGCTTTTTTCGTATTTTCCGAATCCTTTTTCTCAATGAAAGTCTGTAATTTCTCTGTATGAACACTGGAAAATCTCTATTGTTTCGCTTCGAGCTCCATTTGTACTGAAAATTCAAGCAACATATCTGCWCCCGCTCTGTTGTTTTTGATTGGTGCAAAATATCACGCCATCAGCGATTTTCACGTTCTGATCACGCGCACTTGTTTATTTTCACGATTATTGTCACGTGCAACTTATTTCCCGGTCGAGATACATTTAGATTTAGCTACGTGGTCATCTTTCAACCAATGAGAGTGTTCGTTATATCGGAAAATTTCGTAGCTATATAACAATGTAAAGATATCTTGAATTTAGCTTAGAAGCCTGGCATTTGACAAAGGAAGCCCAAAAAGTTTTAAAACGTACACAGGTATCCCGCACGAACAAAATTAAAAAATATATTGTGGGACAAAATCGTTTCAACTAAGAAATTTCAGTCTTTTGCCAGCAATATTGACATCATTGTTGCGTAAAAGATACTAATGACTCGGATTTAGCTCTAATTTTTTAAAACCTTTATCGACCTTTCTCACGTAMGTAGTCATAACAAAATTCTTTATGCTATTGGTTTCATTATGTTTATYGATATGTTTGAAGGTCGATGCCCAGCCATCGGAACCAAGATCGAGRTGGGGGTATTTGCCTTAGGGCTGTTACGCATAAAGTTGGTCGAACGGTAAATAGGTAATTAGTAACAGATAAAAGGTCCTTTGCTCTTTTGGACCTTACTTTCACTCTCAATATTCAACCATTGTTGATAAAAAGATCGACCGAATTGTGGTTTTCTGCCTGAGTGGAGTCAATTAGCAAATTCATTACTTATCAAATGCGCTATTTTCCATGAACTTTAAAAAGAAGATGAGAAGTTTAAGTAGAATATTATAATATAGAGAATAAGAGAAAAATATCAAATGCCTTTAGATTATTATTATCTCAGCCGAATCCTCWGGGACAGTTGCTCAAGAGAAAATTACATGGAAAATACTTTATTTACCAATACGGCTGCCATCTTGATTATTGTATTGTTCTAAGTAAGAGATCATGAGATGCCGACGGCGCAACGACTGTTAAATTAAGACTGAATGATATTATAGGCAATCATAAGAGGTCTGAAATGGAAAGTATTATGCCCACATACCTCAATCGTATATACAATGGATATATATGTTTTGTGGGCGCGGGGTTTTTGTGTTTCTGTGTATATATGTTATATTATACTTAATTTTCTCTTTTCTTATATTTTTACTTTAAGATTCTCAATCGCAGATTTTAGTATAGATTTTTTTTAGATTTTTATAGATTTTATATTTCTAATCACCGGTTCAKACCAGCTGTTCTATCGTGTCCAGCTGATCGGTTTTTTAAATCAGATTAAATCAAGATATTATTATTAATATTATTGTTATCATTATTATTATTATTATTATTAATAGACCCTTTTCGAGTTCCAAATTACCGCTGTGTTTCTTGATTACAGACTCATTTACTCAGGTTAGCCTCGAATCAGTATCTGAATATTTAAAAATACCAACGGTAAAGTAAAGAATGCACAACTTCAACAATACGAACACTTTGATATTCCACGGACCTGCACATGAACACATGAATATTCTACACAAAGTCAGGCAACAGAGAACTCGTAACTGGAATATTAATACKATTGGTTCAAGTAACTTCAGTCTCCCATCTTCGTTTTCCCAACACAAACAAACCTACAGCATATTGGTTCTTAGATACCCACATCGTCATCGCGGCCATGTTGGTACCATTTAACAAAAGATTTCTCATTAGCATCCATTGTTAACGGTACCACAATGGCCGCCATGTTTTTGTCTTTTAACTCTCTTGGGAATGCTTGCAACCCATCAATACTCTCAGATCGCCCATCTCAATTCTCCGACCGACGTTTTTTGAAATACGTGTATAGAGAGAGSAGAATTATGAGCAGACAAGACTAATGATGCGATGGTACTAAATCCTTGAAATAAAAACAAAAGAGTTATTAACTAATAGTCCTAATTTACTGCATATTTAGTCGATATCACTCAAGTGAATCAATCCTATATATGAATACACAGGAGACATCAAATACACAAGAAACATGTTAGTCATTTGTTCATCAATACTTTATTTGTTCTCTGTTTGATATTAAAACATTGATTTTATTAACTTTGTAGACTTTTTAATGTCTCCTGTGTAGTCATATATAGATTGATCCACTTGAGTGATATGATATCGAATAAATACACTCAATTGAAGAATCGTTGTCGGGTTCAGAAACATAGAACATAGAAGCTGAGACTGAAATGGCACATGGGAAATGACATCATTATATTATAATTTATTCATTTGCGCCATCCATGCAGTCGGTTTAGAATGCCAAACGCGTATGAAAACAGTGGATGATGCCACGGGTCGCCGGTCACAGCATGCATCTAATTAACGTACTTCCTATGTTCCATTTCGGTCTCAGCTTCTATGTTCTATGTTTCTGAACCCGACAACGATTCTTCAATTGCGTGTATGCACTAAATTTCGACTTTTAGTTAATAACTATTTTGTTTTTATTTCACGGATTAAGTACCATCGCTCTATTGTTCAGTAACCAAGTCAACTGTAACATTTCGGGGTTTATTTCAAGTCTGGTATCCTAAAATTCCTGCGTTCTGATTGGCTGCGCGGGTCATGGGTAGTGCATTTTTTACCAGTCAATCCTGTCGAAAAACAAGTAGACTTACCGAACTCTCGAAGGCCCGTTTACACCGACGA